AAACATTATTTTTATACTAGGCTATTGACTTGGCCAATGAAAGAGTATTTGTTTTCAATTTATGTTTTTATATGAAAATCTCAGCTCTGTGTGTAAATGATATATTATTTTTTACAAGATCTTCATTATAATTTATTTATGCAGCTTTTAAAATTGTTTCATCATCATACATAATTATTTTAAACTTGTTGGATTGATTCTTTAAGTACCATAATATTTTAATGTATTTTACTAAAACAAGTATCCATGGTTCATCTATGCAATAATAAAATCCAGAAATAAAAAATTATCAAATTTTTATAATATATTTCTTATACATTATATAATTTTTTTTCTTACATAACCATAGCGTTGTTATTTCAATTTGTTTTTCTTAATCTTTTAATTAATATTATTGAAAATATTTGGAATAAGTTACCTACATTTATTTAAATTTTGTATTGCATTCTTAACTCTTTTAGGTTACTTGTTTTGTAAAGCTACACTTATTTGATTTGTACAAGTAAAACAAACTACTAATACTATTTAAAAAACCTTAGATTTTTGGGGAGGAGTGGCATTGCCTTATAGTAACTGGGAATACATGGGGTACATTGGATAACATTTTATATTAATTTTAAGGTTGTACATGTAATATGTTAACTGTATAAAATAATGAGATACTACTTAATTTTATTGAATGAAATTCATTAATCATTACTTATAAGATTCAAAATTAGATAAAAATCATGTTAAGTATTATTTTTCACGTGAAAAGTTGAGAGAATATTATAGCATATTTGTTTTAAACTAAAAATAAATTCATTTTAAAAATATAAATTTGAAAATGCATGTTTAAAGAAAATTTAAATGTTGTACCACTTTACCGTTATATTTATCTTTATGATGACATTTGTTGTAAAACAACTTATTTTTATTTTATATAATATTATGATATGTATATCATGGAAAACGTATATTTAACTAGTACGGTCGTCGTCGCCGTACATAATGTTATATTGCAGTATAGTGTGTTTATATTTTCGCTTTCACCCTCTACTAACGCATCAAATCATCGTAGTTCTAAAATCTGCTCATCTCTCCTCTTGCGCGGACATGGCGGTGTATCGTCTCTCTCAAATTCCACCTAGGAAGAATCCGCACGCAGACGTTTACCATGCTGTCAAAAGGCCATAATCCGCTTGGTTTCGATTTCAATCTCGAAATGGAGATGAGCACTGCTGCTGTTGCTTGTCGTGTGTAAAACTCCCACAGAAGCGAATCGAATGCTTTTTAAGAAAATAATCCCCCCAAGGAATATACGCACTAGCTCGTGTCTGTGTATACGTACGACTGAAATAAGCACTCGGGCGTTAGATGAATGAATTGTAGTGCGGTGTAGCAGAGATGAAAAAAGCCGCAATAGGCCGACGTAGTGGAGACACGAATGACAGACGGGTGGATGGTAGAACCGATGATATAGGCTGAAGCAGAGAGTTGATTCTTTTCCTTTTCCGTTACCTTAAGTGTGTATTTGTGTATGTGAGTGAGTGTTTGTGTGTCCACCAGCCGTATATAAATAAATTATAGTGATTGGATCGATGATAGCTGACGCAAACGGTTGCTGATAGCTGACTTCCGAGTAAAATTCCGGAAGAAGAACACTTGATAGCTTATAAAATACCAGTAAAACGAACTTGGTTGTTTCAGGTGTATAAGTAGCGAATAAAATATATTTTTAGATTTTGAGTTCACTTACCGTTATAGAACAACCACGTGATTATTATTTTCTTTCGTGTATGCTATTTAATTTAGTTTTATTATAGCCATTTTACAGTATACCAATGTAATATTATATATCATATAAATAAACATATTGTTATAAGCATATAGTAAATAGTAGGTACTAGATAAATTACGCATCTCATATAGTTTTAAGGGCAAATAAATGTTATTTTCCACTCAGTATTGTTATAAATTAGGTAATATTTTTGTATTATATTATGTCCAGCTTTAAAATTTAATAAAGTTTTATTTACATAATTGTATTTAAACTGGTAATTGTTTTTCGTAATGGCGGTATGTATGCGTCCGCCGTTTCGGTTGTAACCAATGGCAATATAGTTATATTATATTAACGATATAAACGCTATTGTGGGGTAGTTGACTTTCGTAAGAAATGTCCGAGGCAACGAAAACACAATAGTTTTAGAAACCATTAAGTTACATATTGATAAATATGTGGTATTACCCAAAGTACGGTATACAATTATTTCTTTAGGTACCTATCATATAAAAATAATTAATAAATATTACGTCATATACAATATAAACTATAAAATAATTGACGCATGCACTTATAGCTTGAAAAAAATCATATCATTTAGTCATATATATGTAGACACTAATATTCTATATTGTTTTTCTTACATTTGGTTTTTGTAATTCATCTAGGATGTAAAAAATATATTTCTTGCATAATTTTTGTTTAGTTTATAATGTTGAATGTTCTATATAAAGTAACATATTTTGCTTAAATTTATTTTTTCATCTAATCGATCACTAATTTCAAGTTCATGAATTTGATTTATATATTAATTGCATTAATTATAAATAATAAATTTATTATAAATGTTTAAAGTTCTCGTTTACTATCGTCAAAAGTGGTGTAAAATTTTCGCAAGTATTATAGTATCTAGAAACGTTTTCGGAAGTAAGACTTTTAAAAATACACATTTAATGGAAGCAATGACAAAAAGGTATCTAACCTTTTCCAGTCGGGTGGACATTTTCAGTTATTCTTTGACAGCCATTGGACCTAATGGTGCTATAATAGTGCCCTTTGAGTACATGTTTTCTCTCAGTCAACGTTAAACACAATTTCCAAAAAAAAAAAAAAAAACCTTATGCAACCATAAACTTATTGCCAAGTGTATTCACATTTGTTCTAAGTATCTATCTAAAAAAATCAAACATTGCGAAACATGTTTTACAACTATAAGCTAATTGTTAACTATTTAAAAGGAAGAAATAGTAATATCTTTCTTGATTTGTTATTAATTTATTATCTATTTATAATTTTTTGTTTGAATGTTTAACTATTTATTAATTATTTGGTTACATTTTTAAGAAGTACGTGTACTTGTGTGTTTTTATTATAAAAATGTAAAAATGGCTAAAGAAATATTTCAAGAATGGATAAGAATAGCATTAAACAATAACAATTTTAGTATTTTAAAAAATACGTATTCACTAGATTTATATGACTATGTAAATTCTTCTGAATCATTGTTTAGTCCTTTTGAATTTAAAGTAGATTCAAAATACAAACGACAGTTAAATAATAAAATATAAAAAAATAATAATAATAATAATAATACTATTTGAACACTGTGACATATAACAATATCGATTTACTCAGAAAATAATGTGTATCCCCAACTTTGTTTGTCATCTTCATAAAATATTAGTGATTATAATAGGTATAATTTTAAATAAATTGTGACCAATAAAATGCAATTTAAAAAAATAATTCTTAGAATTGTTTTTATTTAAGAAACCATAACGACATAACAAATAAATCGTTTTTAAAAAATCAAACAATAATGTATAACGAACAATAAAAATATGATAAATAATAAAATAACTATATAATTTTTAAAAATTGGTTATTAAATATAATTCATATAAACTCAATAATAATAATATAACCTATTAGTTATTTCATTGTTTATTCTTCATAATATTTATAAACGTAAATTAATATTAATAAATGGTTTGAAATTGTTATTATTATTGTTACAATTATCTAATGCATACAATAAAGTTTTTAGCTACTTTTAGATTTTTTATAAATTTATAATTTAATAAAAAATAACTTGAAAAAACTGTGTTATGTATAGCACCATAATATTATAAATAAATAGAAATTATTGGTATTATCTTCATAATACATATATTTAATATTTATAATTATTAAAAAATTTTATATTTAAATTTTAAACTGCATTAATAATTATTTAATGGTTTTCGTTTTCAATTATACTCAAGATTATCCGTATAAAGATAAGCAAAATCATAAATTTAATTTCAAACATGGATGCGTGAAAATACTGAAATCACTATGTGTGATCTGCAAATCATAAAAATAAATTATATATACTTATATATACGTATATAGGTATATATTATAGTATATAGATTTATAAGTATTATAATTAGATATAAATAATATATTATTATGTTAACTTAGTATTTGTTATTTTATACGCAAATTAACTCTAGCTTTTATATTTTCTATATCGTTGCTTTCACTGAAAATATTTCCATTACTATGAGTTTGGTGAAAATAATATCTATAATTTACATCTGAAAAAAAAAATGTTTCAACAATAAACGGAATTTGGTAGTATCTAATCACTATTTCTTTAGAGCAGTGAGCAGTGTTTCTCAACCAGTGTGTTGTGAAAAACTGGTGTATCGCCGAATATAAGTCCAAATGTGTCAAGAAATATTTTAAATGATACAAAATGTACAAATTATTAATATTTGATATCATTTCTATGATGATTAAAAATTATTAATTTGTAAACAAAATTTATAATTATTTTTGAAGTTATATTTTTCCTTTTTTCTTTTTTATTTAACATAACCAATTAAAATTGAATATTATATGTTACAGATTATTTTTATTATTTTTATTTTTTCATTGTGGCCCATAAAATATTAAATATTTAAATAGTGTGTCGCCGTAATACAAAGCTTAAAAAACACTGCTTTAGAGAACGATTTAAATATTCCTTGTGGGCATATTTTATTTTATCTTTTTGATTTATTTTACATTTGTTAAAAAAAAAAAAAATAAAAAAAAATTATGGGAATATTTCGACGTATTTGACTAAATGTTATTAAATTTATATAAATAATACTTGTTAATATAGTATGTTTAACTATATAATTGTTGTTAACTATATGTTGTGATCACTAAATTGTAAAATTTAATTTGAAATTTTAATTTTTAGATTCAACTTTATGGTTACAATACTGATCTTTATTCAAATATGTCCGAAGCTCAAATGAAATCTCAAGGCATTGTGGGTGTATCACTTATGGTCCAAGTGAGTAATTAAATATGCTCTGTTACTTTATAATTTATTATACGTCTTCTTAATTATATTTTTAACCTTGTAGATTGGACAAACAACGAATTCGGAATTTCAAATGGTCACCAACGAGTTTAGTAAACTTTTATACAAAGGTAAGTTAGTATTAATATTTAATATTTAAACTATTGTGTACCACTATGATAATGATAAATATTTAAAAAATTTTTATTTTCGTATTGTGATGTGTTTAATAAATAATGATTTAAAAATTAAAATCAATTGTTGACTGATATTGGTAATATCTGTAAATGGCATTGAATTATAATAATTAAACCGTCCCCGTTAAGTCTACATGACAAAATAGTTGACTGAAATAATTATTAAAAAAATATTAAAGCAGAACAACAAATTAATTATATGATCAAAAAAATTAAATCGTTTAATATAATCGAATTGCAAACAATAATTAATTAAAAACAAGTACTACATACATTAAAACTATTTTAAGCAATTTAGCGTCTTATTGTTTTTTGATAATTGTTAATATTGTCTATATCAATAATATTTTTTACATTGTCATATTATTGTAGCACTAAGAATATAAATTTGTTGAATTCGTTATTGTTTGTTAATACAAAAACTACTTAGTATATTACTATATTAAATTATGGAGTTTTTAGTTTGAACATCAATTATAACATTAGAGTTTTTGCGCGTTCCGGTTCTTTATTAATTTTTCTTATTTATAATCTTGATAAAATCATTTATACGAGCTGGTTTTGTAGGAGTTAAGCAGATAAATACAGCATTACATCGTCCTTAATTTTAAGTACAGCTCTAAAATCACTTTACAGTCACTTAACGATTTCAGCATTAATGCGAACGTGCTTTTGTCATGTCACGTGTGTGAAAAACAATGACAACAAACTGTGTGGTGCTAAGTCATTTAAAAACTTTGTTTTTGTCTTGAATACTACTATAGGAACACATATGTATGTACATTTATTTATAATATTTATGTACACATAGTAAATATGTGCACCATGATATGTAACGCGTAAAAAATTATTTAATGTAATATTGTTAGAAGATTATCATATATATTATATTTTTAATTTATTTAGAAAATATACAATCTGTAAGGGTAATTTTACAATGAGCATATATGCAGTATATACCTATATTATGTTGTTTTTTTTTTTTTTTGACAAGAATTTACATGATTTTGAGGAATTATCCAACAGTAGTACTTATGACGTGAGGAAACTATCTATAATATAATAAAAACATCTCAATAGAAAGGATTAAAACAGTTGATACATAATGTATAATAATTAGGCATTATATATAATTTAAATATGTTTTATTTGCCGTATGTTACAATTTACAATGGAAATTATTATAATTCTAATGTGAAATCATTATAGTATCGTGTTCAGTTTTATTGATTGTTACCTAAAAAATTAATTATTTTCGAATATTTCTATATTTTTCTGCGTTGTCGTATAGTTTTTAGGTACAGTTGTTTGGAAACATTATTATTAAGTGAAAGAATTTTATTTTCATAGGATTATTCCATAATACAAAACTTATTGAAAATAGTGCTATTAAAATAAAGTTTTTTGTTATAAAATATTATGAATCAATATTTAAACATTTCTCGGAATATGAACAAAACGAATTTTATTCTTTAAACTTGATTCATTCTACATTAATTTATTTTTTTTTTTATAAAAATATATGAAAGAATTCGTTTTAAATATTTATTTATTTCATGAATTCCAAACATTTTACTATACACAAGTAAAAATTTGTCGAGGTAGTCGTCTATACAAGAAATTCGTTTTGACTACAGTATTCTGTAATGAAATATTTGGCGTTTTAGACTTTCGACAACCTGAAACTTGTGTTTTACTATGAGAACTTTTATTTTTAAAGATTATTTTATACTTATCTGTAGCAAAATTATAGGTGTATATACCATTTTTGTTTGATTTTGTGTAACTAGTTTTATTGGTTTTACCTATTTTAAAAATATAAAGATAAATATTTCTACTAAGTTTACATACATAATTTATACTGTATTTTATTATTATTCAATTGTAAAAATCAATATTTAAATAACTTTTATGTTCAAAAAGTCAAATAAAATTAATTTAATGTACTTAATCAACTGTTAGCAATATTAATTGAATTATATGGTTTTGATTTTAGTTCACGATCCTACATATCAGCATACATTTCCTTATTATTTATTTAATTGTATCATTTAAACAATAGAGTTTTTGACCTATTATATTAAAATTATGTAGGGATAGTTTTAATCCATTTAATGCAATTCACTGAATATGATAATTGATTTTTGATTTTTTATTCTTTGAAGTTATTATTAGAATTTAAAATAAAACTTGAAAAATACGATTAGTTTAAATTCTTTAAATAATTAACTTTAAAAAAAATAAAAATGATCCGATAAATTTGAAATTTGTAGTGTATATTTTATGTTAATAATTGCTACTATATTATCGTTTGAGTAATAAAATTACAAAATTAAAAAAAAAATTTATTCTAAGCACGTGTTTAAAATATAAAACTATAGCAGCACGGTTGACAGAAATATTACTTAGAAAAGTTGTAAACACACGCCGATTCTGTAAATATTCATAGGTTAAACATAAAACTATAGAAAAAGGTAATTTTGTGCATCTAGTTATATAAGGTGCAATTTTGTGTAAGTGTAGATTGTTTTTTGAGAAAATTTAACCTAGACGCGGAAACCTTCTCTGAATCATTAATTGGATACGACGTTTGTGTTGTTTTTGTTTATGAGGAAAAGTTTAAACTCGATTAAATCAATCTTTAATAAACGATCAAAACAGACATTTGCCTTTTAAAAAACAATATTATTTTTCAAAGATTACTTTATCTAAATAATAAAATGTACTTCAAGATCACTTTTTATTGAATGTAATAACATTCAAATGAATATATTATTTACTTGAAGTTATATACATATATTATATGTTTGTGAATTGAATTTCGGTTTTGTTTTAATTGTGTATACTGTTAAATTGTTATTTATATTATCAATATTAGACCTTTCGAATTGAAACTATTACAATATTTGATGTTATAAAAAACGTTTAATAAAAATGAAATATACTGTTTTCATCCCATTTAAATACAATATATTAATTGCACGATGAAAACAAAGTTCTTTTTTTCCATCCAAAAATGTAACGGATCAAAGGTCTGGGACAAATATACTATAATATTGTATGCCATATGAGCCAAAGACAATTTATTGTTTATATATTATAATAGCTATTATGACAGAACGCAATTTATTTCTATATTACCGGTCCGTGTATAATATAATTTACTGATATATCGATGTCCTCGAGTAATGTAGTTTTAGATATTTATCCAAAATTTAAATTTAAATAATATAGTGTATTTGTGCAATACCAAGAGAACCATTGTTCAAACGTATAATAATATTATACAAACGTTTCAATAGTCGTTCATAAACTTAATAATAATAATATTGTACCATATAGAAAAAAGGTGGTGAAAATACTGTTAGATATATTATATGTATGTAATTTTATTGTTATATTACTGTTTTATGTTCAGAAAATATGTTCAAGTTCATTTTATTTGTAAAAATAAAGGCGTATTTTTATTTTGAATGCGAAATAGTGGTTATACATATAAGTGCGATGATGTTTTAAACGTTATATGCCCTTATAAAATTAATGATGTTTAATTCTCTGTTGTAAAATAGTAAGCCCGTGTATGAAATTGTTTGAAGTGTGCTCCTCTTTGCACAATGACTCGTTTAAGTTGTTGATTCGAACTCGAAATTAACCAAATTTATTTGATTAGAATAATAATTATAACTGACCAACTATAGGTTTAAAAATATATATTATTTAATTTTATGTTTGTCATTTATTTGTATAAAAAACATGATATTTATAATTTTTCAAACATTATCGTTTGTATTTTTCTTTTAATAATGGATTTGTTCGAATTCTAGACTTTTGTAATTTTTATTTTTAAACATTCTTAAAAATTACTATACCATATTTAAAAATACTTATACTTTTTGGCGTTTAAAGATTATATTATTTCTATACAAATGCTTTTTTTTTCCAGTAAATTTTTTATTTGATACATTTTTTAAAAAAAGTTATGCATACAAACTGAAGTTTAAAGAAGCAATTTTTTAATTATTGAACTTTATTTATGTAGGAAAATATTTAATGATAATAGCATTAACAATTTGAGAGAAATGATAATTTTAAATTTATATTGATGTATTATCATTTTTTAATTTCTAAAAAAAATGTATGTATTATATTTACCATAAAGAATTAAGAAATTTAGCATTATTCATTTAAAATTTGATTTCTATGTATCAACATTTTCACAAGTAATATTGTCTTACGTTTTTTTTTTTTTATACCACTGTAGAAAAATACTTAATAAAATCATCATATTTAATTGTTTAAAATATATTCTTAGATCATATAACTGAAAATTCCAAAAATCAGAATTCAAATAAATGTAATGTATTATAATAATATAAACGATAAAAAAGGGGATGAAAATGCTTGTTCAATTACTCTGTAATAAATATAGATATTATATCAAAGTAAATAAACTATATTTTTTAATTTTTAGTACTATATAGTAGGTATATCTAAGGATGAAAAAAAAAATCAAATATGGGGACATTAAACGAAGAATTATTTATACACACATAATATATTATATTTAATGTACATAAAAAAAGAAAAAAAATATGTTTTATAGTACGTGTATGTAATACGTAATAACATACAAGTGTACACAAAATACATTTATACATGTCGTCTTTAAAGAGTATACAAGTATTTTTTGATTTAAAAAGGAAAAGCTATAAAACACATATATTTTCAAGTTATTTACATATATTTTATGATATTTTATGTAATTAGAAGTGTAAAGTAATCGTTAATCACCAAAATCTTTGATATGTATTTTATATAATACTTAAATAAAGATCATCATATTCAGTAGTTTAATCATATTTTAACTATTATAACATGAAAATACATAGTAAATATAAAAGTATAAATTAAATATTGTTGATAAATGAATTAGG